GAAAGTTGGGGCTGTTCAGCCTGGAGAAGAGAAGACTGCGTGGAGACCTCATAGCAGCCTTCCAGTATATGTAGGAGGCCTACAAGGATGCTGTAGAGGGACTCTTCATCAGGGACTGTAGCAATAGAACAAGGGGTGATGGGTTTAAACTGAAACAGGGGAGATTTGGGTTGGATAAAAGGAAGAAGTTCTTCCCTGTGAGGGTGCTGAGGCCCTGGCACAGGGTGCCCAGAGAAGCTGTGTCTGCCCCATCCCTGGCAGTGTTCAAGGCCAGCTTGGATGGAGCTTGGAACAAACTGCTCTGGCGGAAGGTGTCCCTGCCCATAGCAGGGGGTAGAACTGGCTGAGCTTTAAGGTCCTTTCTAACCCAAACCAGTCTGTGAGTCTATGATTCAACCCTGACCCCTCACTGTTATCATGAGCAAACTATACCCTCTATCTTAATCTCACAGGCTCAATTCATGTTGCTGTTCCTAAATGCAATCGCTCACTTAGGGTTGTTTTTCCACAACCCTCCACAGCTAGCGTCACACAACGAGAAATGTTCATGAAGCCACAGCAGATCACAGAAACAGTGATGCTCTGGTCAGGGTCCTCCATGCTCCCCTCCTTTCATTTGAGCGATGAAAACCAACAGTAATTCGAGCAGAATTTGTTTAGGAGCAAGTTCCAACATGTGCACCAACTTCTTCTGTGCCCTGAGGAAACAGCTCTGCTCCTCACCTTTCAGCCATGGCCCAGGGACATGGGGGCTGCTGGGGCAGGAGGAGAGCAGCAGGGGCAGCCAGTCACAATGCTCAGGCTGCTGTGGCGTTGATGGGGTAGGCAAAACTAAGATGTTGCAGAGCAGGGATCCATCTGTCCAAGATCTGTTTGCTTGGTCTTTTTTGGTCTCCAACACCCCTTCTCAGTGCAGCTGTGGGGTGGGATGCAGCACCATTGAGTGGAGTGATGCTGCATGTTGGGTACAGGACTCTGCCTGGCTCAAATAGGGGATGTTTTCTGCTGCTGCCTCTCCAAGAGCCGTGCTCAGCCCAAAATGCCTCACAAAATCATGCCACCCTGCTCAATAAGGGGCTCAGGAGCATCTTGGGCTGCCTCCACACTGCTTCCTGCAGGAGATGCCAGCGAAGGGCAAGAGAAAGCAGATCACTGAGCTCCATCTACAGCCACGAGACTGCATGGGATTTTTCATCCCAGGTTAACACATGATGCCAGTCCCACATACACAGCAGGTTGATGGCTGGAAGCTGCTCAGCACTTGGCTTTTTGCGTTAACCCCTCACTCAGCGTTTCAGGCGTGCAGAACACCTTCACGTCCCTCAAGGTGGTTCACTGGGGGCTGCCCAAAGCCTGGCATCTGAAATCCTAATGAGCCAAGGTTCCCAGGCTCACGTATGATATATGAGCTGATGTACGCCCTCAGCTCTTTGCTTGCCCCCACCTGGTGCAGTGCCAGGAGCTGGGTTGGGATGCATCCAAAGCATTGCCCCATGTGGCACCTCCAGCCCCTGGCACAGTGTGGTCAGGCTCAGTGTTCCCGGAGGCCGCCACATCCCCAGAGCAGGACAGAGTGGCTGTAAAACACCTCCCAGGAAGCCTGTTGACCAGAAACCAATTAAGGAATTGCCTTTTACTTCCCACTGGGTACAAGGGATCAAGGAGCTGCAAATACCCCAGGAACTGCAAGGAAAACTCAGCAGTGACATGCAGCACAGCAGCACTTACGTCTGTGTTTTGGGACCCTCACAGGTCCTAGAGAAGCCCAAACAAGCCCAGAGAAAACCCCCACAACAACTAACATCTCCTCCCTCAACATAAGGTTGAGCAGCTGAAAAAGCCTGAGGCTTAAGCTTGTCCTTGGCCTGGGGACGAAAGTGGGAGACTGGGGCTGTTCCTCTGGCACACCCCAACAACAGAGGGGCAGGAACATTTGTGGGTGCCCAGAAAACAAATTGCTGGAAGAAACGAGAATGAGCAGCCAGGATTTGCCTGTTATGGCACTGAAGAGCAGGTAGCCACATGCAATACCCCATGCTGCAGGCACTGGCCCGTGCCACTGCCTGCGTGCAGCTCCATGGGTGGAGGGCTTTAGTCTCCACCAGCGCAGACCTGCCATCCTCACTTGGAGCAGGGAGCACCACTGCCTTTCCTTCCCCTTCAGCAGCAGATCAAACCCCTCCACATCTACCCCACTCTATCACCCTCGCAGCATCAGTCCTCATGGACCCATGTCTCCGCCACAGCTCATCCTCCAGCGCCAGCACTTAACGCCCTCCCTCGTTGTGACCCTGCAGAAGCCCTAGCCATGTCCCTCACCTCCATTGCTGCCACTTACCCCACTCACTCCCTGCTGCCTCCCGGGAAGCCACTGCTGGGATGTATGGGCTCCTTCACCACTGCAGCTCACCACTGACCCCCCATACCCACCCCAATCCGCTCAGGGCTCTGCAAGGATTAGCCCAGCACTGCCTGCAAATGGGATTACTGGCACCCAGCTGTCCTGAATGCTGCAGCTCCCAGCAGCCAGCCCAGCTTCAGTGGAGGATAGTGAGAAGAAAAGCCAAAACTCTAGCAGATTTGAGCATCCTCCACATCCCTGGAGCCACAAAAGCTGCCCCAGACATTTGCCAGCTCAGTGCATGCCTGGCAGTGCTGCAGGGACACTGTCACCTCGCCCAGGGACAGATGCACAGAGGGATGCACAGACAAGCAGCAGCTAGGGCTGCTGAAACCCTGTGGGGTGATGCAAGGGTGATGTGCCCAGGGATGCTGAACCTGCTGCTCTGCACTGACCCTGGCACCACGGCAGGAGGTAGCAGAGCCAGGCCGAGCTAAGCCTCCCCTTGCTGAGCCTGCCAATTGCTGCTTGATCCGTTTACCTCCAGCTCTGCTGACTGCCAGCCTTTCCCATTGCCCTAATCCCAGCCACGGTCACACCCTGGAATCCTGGTTCTGGCACAGCTTTGCTGCTCAACATCCAGCCCCAAGTTGGCCAGAGGCCCCTGACCCTACTCCTCCTTTCCCAGCGCTACTGGTGTCCCCATCCTAGTGAGCCCCAGCCCAGCACCTCTGTAGCTCTGGTTCACAGCTAGGGAAACTGAGGCACACCGCAGCAGTCTCCAACATTGCACCTCATTCCCCACCTGCCAGGCCTGGGGAAGCAGTCTGAAAGGCATCACTGTACTCCTAAGATACTGTTCACTCTGAAGCAGAGTGATGACTGCTCATAGGTCAGCACTGGCCACTGACTTTACTGGCAGAAACTCATATCAAAGGTGCTTCCTGTGCTCTCCCAAGCCTCGTGGCTTGCAAAACCATCACCCAGCCTCGGCTCCGTGAACTTTTCTCCCCATGACTCTGGCCAGCAGAGCTGCTCCTGCCCTGGCAGGAATCGACAGCAAACCCCCAGAAGATGAGCACAGTGCTTCCATATCAGGCCAGGCACCTTGGATCCTCTTGGTTTCCCTCTCCTTACTCTCCTGAGTGGTAGACTCAGACCTCAGCCCAGGGCTGACAGACTTTAATCTGTCAGCAGCTTCAGCTGCACACCTCCAGGCTGGGGGCAAACCCTCTGCTCTGCACTGCGGGATGGATGCTGGTCCCACACCAGTGCTGGAGGAGGCAGGGGAGCCTCGGCTCTGACAGCAGGACACTGGGGCTGCTGTGGAATGCCTTGAAAACCCCGGATTGCCAGGAAAAACCCCACCTGCGAAGGGAGCAAGCTGGGCTGGGCCTGAAAGCCACACATGCAAGCTCCTGGGGAGCAGCAAAGGCTTCTGGACAGGCATGGTGTTAAATAGACTTGCTGCCCCTGTGGCAGAACCAGTGACGGAAATGGCACAAGACCAAACCCCACAGCCCTCACGGCACAGCCTGGCCCAGGTTCCACTTTGCAGGGGGCTCTGTAGGTCCCACCTGAGAAGATGGTGCTGCCTAAAAGAACAAAGCAGCACAGGGACAGCTTCAAGAGAACTTTTGCAGGCTCAGGCTCATGAAATCCTGCAGCAAGGGGTTCAAAAAAACCCAGAATCTGCTGATAGCTAAACCTGCATCTCCTCCAAGGACACTCTGGAGACACCTTATCTTTGAGCCAGCCCTGTCTGCAGTGTTCTCTGACTTATTTCTGCAAGTGAATGCCCAGGAGGAATGCCTGGAGGGGAAGGGGAAGGTTCTGCTCCTTACCTGGGCAATGCTGCCAGCTC